ATTTCTTCTGATCACTTAGTGAAGCAGCAGCACATTCTCCTCACGTCTGGAGCACAAACACTAAACTTAGACGTCACGTTTGACTCTAAAAACTGACTTCAGCAGTTAAAACAGGAAGCTGAACTCGTTATTCTGTAGAATGCATATCATGACTAAGGGAATTGTGTGATCGCTGACTAAGATTAGAAGAGCTGGACCGAAACTGATCAGCAGTTTAGTTTGTTTTCCTTCCATAAGTAGAGTTTAATACAATCCGTTCGTCTTGTGTTTTCTTCAGGAGTCTGAAATCCTCCAGTGATTGTGTAATCTAATCTCAAATCACACCAGCTGTGTCATGAGACGTTCTGCTTCCTTCCTTAAGGACGTTTACGAAACGTGCGTGTTCAGAAAGTGCTCTGTCATGGTTTAAACACATGAAACATCCTGAAAGTCTTGTGTTTTTTGCAGGATGACGTGGTCATGGGGACGCTGACTGTTCGTGAGAATCTGCGTTTCTCAGCGGCTTTACGGCTCCCGAAGTCGATCCGTCAGCGAGAAAAAGATGAGAAGATTGAGAGACTCATTCAGGAGCTGGGATTGAGCAAAGTGGCCGATTCACGGGTAACAAACCAAACACACATTCATCTGACTGACTACATGTGCAATCAACACAGACTTCTGTTGATGCTTAATGATATGATTAATAATTATTTTACCCTGAAGTAATATAACTTAGCATTCTTATGAATCAGTAAACAACATATGTAATCTCGTTTGCTTTTGACATGTTTTCTCCCCAAAAACACAGCTAGATGAAAAAAATATTAATAAAAAATAAATAAAATAATGTTTTTAATAAAAATAATAAATAATATAAAAATATTTAAAAAAAAAATATATATATATAAATAAACTTAAACTTATTTTATTTCAACTAGTTGACAAGGCAAGATTTCTAAGTTTCATTTGGTTTAACTTAATTTGTTACTTTTTCAAAATCATTGATACATTATTAATAATAACAACCACTTGTATTTTTCTCTTATTATTTTCATCAACAATATGGTTTAGTAATTAAAATCATTTAATTATTGTCCGTGCAGAGGCTATTCCGTTTTATTGATCTATGGCGCATTCATTTTTGATTCTTTACACGTGTAATGATGTCCAGTGACTTGTTTGCATTATTTATGCATTATTTTATTTATTTGTAAGACTTTTTTATGACTAAATTTGGTAATGGGAGAGTAAAATAATTTTTAAAACGTACACCGTTCAAACTAGGCTGCTTATGTTGAAGTGTTTGGGATGTGGCTTTTAATGATGAGACCTTTTTTGTAATCAGGCTCTCAAAAAGTATATAAAAATTTGGATATAGATTTATCGGCCAACATATCGGTTATCGGCTTTCAAAAATAAAGAATTATCGGTTATCGGTATCGGCCAAAATTTTCATATCGGTGCATCCCTAATAAAAATTACACAACAAAAGCTTAAAATAAAATAAAAATAAAAATATAAAAAATTACATTTAATTCAAAATATTAACAAAAACTATAATAGTATATCAGTGATACAAAAATAAAAATTATACACACACACACACACACACACACACACACGTATATATAACATTTCACATTTTTGTTTAGTAAACAAAGTAATAAAATAAATAAAACTAAATAAACTAAGTAATAAATGAAAATTAATAAACTATATAGACATTTAAAAATACAATAAATCAAAATAACAAAAACACGCTATAAAATTACAAAAACGTTAAATAAAAATAAAATAAAAATAGAAAATTAAATGTAGCCAAAATATTAAAAATACCAACAAAACTAGTATATCAGTGATACTAAAATAATATGTAATTGTGTGTATATATAACTGTTCTATTCATTAGTCATTGTTTTGTGTGTGTGTGTGTGTGTGTGTGTATAAATATTCAGAAAACGATGACTAATGAACAAAATGAATTTGATCTGATGGGAATCATGATGAATTTGATAAAGTCAGTATTGTAGTTCATTATTGGGTTTAGAGGGCGGGACTTGAATTGACAGCTGATCTGATTGGCTGGTTTTACAGGTGGGCACGCAGCTGATTCGTGGTGTTTCGGGTGGAGAGAGGAAGAGGACAAACATCGGCATGGAGCTGATTATTGATCCGCCGGTGCTTTTCCTGGACGAACCGACCACCGGCCTGGACGCCAGTACAGCCAACTCTGTCCTCATGCTGCTCAAAAGGTGCGTTTATACAAAACCGCTCATATTCCACACCTAAACCACAAGAAAGACATGTTCACTTGTTCAAAAAAAAAAACGTAAAAAAACGGTCTATTCTGCCAGAAAGCACTAGGTAATTGCATATACGTATTATTGTACAAATATTTTCAAATATATTTAACTAATATCTCTATATACATTTTATTTCTAAATTAGTAAATTTATTTTAAAATTAAATGTAATTAAATTACATAAAAAAATTTTTTTGCTCTTTTGGGATGAAATATGACTCTGACGTTGTGAAATTTAACCACAGTGCTGTTTTAACTGTTCCATGTGTTTACCCTGTTAACCCGCACCTGGACGCCGGCGCACTGAACGCTCTTTGTTTGCACGTGTCAATGTTTACGAAGAGATTAAATGAAAAGGGACATAATTAATCTTGACAAACTATATATAATTCTAAAGGTCTAAGCCTCAAGCATCGACGATAGATCGCTGTGTTTCAATGGAAAGCTTATAAAGAATGTATTTGCTAAATTGAATGCAGTTCACATCAAAACATGCATAATCAAAACGCAGTACGAAGGTAAGGGTCCACTGAACAACATCCCATAGAGCACTTTTAGTCCAACGAAACAATAACGTTGTAATATGGATGGTAATTCCTTTGTTTACGTCTCATTTCTTCGGGGACAGTATTGTTTGTATCCGTTATGGAATAACTTGCACTCAAAAAACTTGCATCTTGGTAGTAAAAAGCAACATGGTTTTGTAGCATACAGTGTCACAAACAGAATGAGACCATCCACTAAAAAAAAGTCAAAGATATGTGGAATATTGTTTATTTGAATTCTGCCGCTCTCTCGTGACGACTCATGACGCACCTGTCATCTGATGGGGGACGTAACTTAGCGATCGGCTTTTTGCACATAATTATTTTTTCTTCTTCTTCTTCAACATTTTTCATATATGTGTGTGTGTTTTGTGGGGAATGTGGCTTTATCTGCAT